GGCAATAATAGACGATAAATGGATGCAGGAGACGATAACTAAATATTAGACAATAGATGAAATATAAGTCAGAAGAGTGTGATAAAGAAATTGAATAATAAGAGGAGGAAACGTAGACAGAGCAATTGATGAAGTTGCAACGTAGCTGGAGAGTGAATAAAAAAGATGATGAATAAAAGGAGTGTTGATGAAGCTGGTTTGGCTATAAAGGGCATGAAAAATCGAAAAATAATAAGCAAATGAAAAATAACGAAAGGTAATTACTGCAATTTGAAACATAGCTGGGAAGTGTACAGAGAGTAGGGGAAAGAGTGAGAGAAAATATCTAATTCCTGAATCACTATAAGAATATGAATCAAGCTAACAATACTATCGTAGTACCTTTATTATGGGGTCCTTATCCCCACAATTACGTATCTTTCCTTCACCTAAAGTTATCAGCCCATAATTTTTTGAAAAAGAAGATAAACATGTACAAAAAAATGCATATAAAAACATTTACTAAAACACACTAGGAATACCATTTTTTTCTTTCAAATTTTGATTAAAAAAAAAAAAAAAAAGGAAAATCTGAGACTTACCGTTGACATCAATGGTCTTGAACTGGTTGCAGATGAAGACCTTGAAGGCAGAGGGGAAAGCCTCGTACTTCTTGCCCTTGCAGTGTGTCTGAACAGCTTGCTTGAACTCCTCTACACTCACTTCGCCGTCCTGGGGGGGGGAGGGGTCGTATTAGGTATAAGGTATAAGGGTGGTTTGTGCTATGGGAGTGTCATGGTGGTGTTGTGTCGGTGTTTTTTTGGTGTGGAATGTAGAATTGGTGTCGTCGTGTTCAGTGATATTTTATACCTTGAAGAAATGTATAGTGAATGGCCTGTGGAAAGTCCCTTAGCAATGGCAGACATAAAATAGGTGTTAATGTATCCTGAAAAAATGTGTTTTATTCTTTATATAAGTCCAGTCATTTCCAGGAATACACATAAATCACATTACAACATATAACACCTAGTTATTTATATCAGACATAGATAACGAGTTTCATCCTTTTCTTTTTTCACGAAATGTGGCAGACGAAGGATGAATACCTCGTTTTCTTCCTGAGTCCCGTTTTCTTTATAGACACTATAGTTTTGTCAAGTTTATATTTTTTTATAGGAGGAGATTCATCTTCTGCCTTTGTCAGCCTGTTGACATCAGCGCTGTTAATTGACTGCTGTATCCAGATGTTTGTATTTTTTTTGTGTTTTGTTTGTTTTCTCCCCATCATTATCATTTTTTATCCTTCCCTTTTTCACTCCCTCCTCAATCATATAAGACAATCAGCTTCATCATCTCTATTACCACCCACTGTATCATCATCTTCCCCTCGGTCTCTCCTTCTAGACTTCTTCCTCTTCCCTAAATCCTTTTCCTCTACGTTTACATCCTCTATTTCTCCACCTCCTCCCCACCTTCTTCCTAACCCCCCCTCCCTTTCTTGTACTTCCACAACCCAATCCTATCCATCTTCCTTTCGTCTATCCACTGTCTTCCCCTACCACAACCCTGTCCACTTTCTTGCCTCTCCCTTTTTATAATCACATCGCTCGACCTACTTTCTTCCCCATGTCCATCTAAATCCACCTTCTCCCCATCTCCATTGACATCCTCAACCCCCCCCCCCTCAGTACTACATCCCCACCCACCCACCTCCCTTCCTCCCACCCCCACACCCCCTCCCATCCCATCCCCTCCCATCCCCCCACGCATCAAAACCCACCTTATTGAAGTCAGCCAACTCGGCGATTTCGTTCCACAGGTTAGTCATGATCTTCTGGTTGGAAGCGAAGGTGTCGGGGGAGAACTCGCCGTGGCCTTCGATAAGAGTGACGCGGACGGCGAGGCAATCGAAGTCGTTCTTGTCCAGGAAGCCGTTGTTGTCGATGTCTGACGGAGGGAAGAGAGAAGGCGGAGTTAGAGGGGTGTTTGAAGAGGGAAGGAAGGAAGGAGGGAGAGAGGGAGAGAGAAACACAGAGACAGAGACAGAGAGAAAGAGAGAGAGAGGGGGGGTGAGAGAAAGGGAGGGAGAGAGAGAAACAGAGACAGACAGAGAGAAAGAGAAAGAGAGAGAGAGACGGGGGGTGAGAGAAAGTGAGGGAGAGAGAGAAACAGAGACAGACAGACAGACAGACAGAGTGACTAATGACTAGTAAGAGAGTAAAAGCATAGTAAGTACACAAATAACGTGGAGGTGAATAAGAATATCAAATGAATATTGACAATGATAAATACACAACTCACATTCACCTCATGGCTCGTGAGGTGAATAGATAAGGATAAATTGATAAGTCTATAATAAATCAATGACAGTTATAAACTTTTTTTTTTACATACATCTTACAAAGCAAGTTATAGATATCTAACTGAAGATAAGTAACTTTTAAGAATAGTTTAATAGATAAGAAGAAACAAATTGGCGTATGATAAATGAGTGACAATAAGATTTTTTTTTCAAGAACTAAATGCACAAAATGTAAGTAGATAAACGGAGGATAAATATTTTTGAAGTGATTAAATAGATCAGTATATATCTTAGAAGACGAAAATCGATGGATTGTGAATACAGAATTTAAAATGACGAGAACATATATATAAATGGATGAGAAGAGTAATGAGTGTACATATAAATAAATTAGTGAATAAGGAATAGGCCACGTGAATAAACTATAAACAGTAAATAAAGATAAATGGGTAATAAATTCATACAACCAGACAGGCACTAGTTACTTTCTCGATAAATGTTTCCAAGCTAAAGAGTCAAATAATTTATTTACAGAAAATAGAATGAGCTGTTATATTTGCACAGATAAATTCAAGAAGAAATTTTGAAAAATGATTATGAATTATACAAGTGTGTGTTTGTGTTTTGCATATCCTGCATTGTAAATCAGCAAACAGAGAAGCAGACGAAAATGCGGACGGAATAATGGAAAAAACAATAAGAAGAAATATAGAGGGAATGATGTAAAAACAGACGAAATGGTAGATAGAATAATGGGAAAAACACGAGAGTGCAGACAGAATAAGGGATAAACAGAAGAATAGACGAAAAAAGTAGATAGAATGATAAAAATAAAGACGAGAATACCAACGGAATAAGAAAAACATAAAAAAAAATCGAAAATATAAACAGAAAAAATGGATAAACACATACACAGAAGAGAATACAGAAGAGAACAGAATAAACGTGGCAAACCCAATAAACAGATAGGAATGCAGACAGAAAAAGAAAGTGGATAAACAGATAAAGACCGAAAACAACTGATGCCAATTTCCTTCCTCAGACGATACAAAAATAAAAGAAAGCAACATCTGTAAATAATAAACGAGGAAACAAAAGACGCTCGTGATGCGTTCCCGGAAGACGATCGGGTGAAGAGGAGCAGGAAATAAAAACAAGAAAAGAAAAAACACGCAAAAAGAAGAAGAAGAAGAAGAAATAGGTCGGGTGAAAAGGAGAAAAGAAATGAAAAGAAATGACACAAAAAGGAAGAGAAAAAGAATTAAAAAACGAAAAAAAATACAAACGGACTAGCTTAGCGAAGGTGATCGGGTGAAGAGGAGCAAGAAATGAAAATAAAACACACAAAAAGAAGAAGAATTAGAAGAAAATGAATATAAAAGAAGAAAAGGAAGAAAAACACCAAAATTAAGGAGAATCGGGAGAAGAAAAGAAAGAAAAACACACGAAAAGAAGAAGAAACAGAAGAAAATAAGAAACACAAAAAGAAGGTGAATCAAGAGAAAATAAAGAAAATAAGAAACACAAAAAGAAGGAGAATAAAGAGAAGAAGAAGAAACACACAAAAAGAAGGAGGATCAAGAGAAGAGAAAAAAGAAAGAAAAGACACGCAAAAAGATGGAGAAAGAAGATAAGAAAAAAAGGAAGAAAAGACACGTAAAAAAAGAAGGAATAAAAGAAAAAAGGAAGAAAAGACACGCAAAAAGAAGAATCAAGAGAAAGGAAGGAAGAATAGACACGCAAAAAGAAAGAGAATCAGAAAAAAAAGAAGGAAGAGGGAAAAAAAGGAAGAAAAGACCCGCAAAAAGAATGAGAATAAAGAGGACAAGAAAACACACAAAAAAAAAGGAGAATCAAGAGCACAAAAAAAGAAGAAAAGAAAAGAAAAGAATCAGTTGCAGGGAAGGAAGAGAGGAAAAAAAGGAGAAAGAAATGGACTGTCACTGCTGACGCTCAGCATCAAGATCGACCTTGGCAAGACTCCGCTATTCGCTCGGTCCGACTACCTGATCGGTGGCGATTTTTTTTTTCCTTTCTCTTTTCGTTTTTCTTATTATTGTTCCGTTTTTTTTACTGTTCTTTTCTGGTTTTTTTTTCTTCTTTATGATTTTTTTTGGGGGGAGGGGGATTTTTTTTTGTCTTTCTGCTTTCTATCTCTTTCTTTCTTTCTGCTTTCTCTCTTTTTCTTTCTTTATCTGTTCTCTTTTTCTTTCGCTTTCTCTTTCTCTAGCTCTTTCTTCCTCTCCTTCATTTCTCTCTCTCTCTCTCTATCTCTCTCTCTCTCTCTCTCTCTCTCTCTCTCTCTCTCTCTCTCTCTCTCTCTCTCTCTCTCTCTCTCTCTCTCTCTCTCTCTCTCTCTCTCTCTCTTTCTCCTCTCGGTCTTGTCCTCCCTCTCATTCTCTTTCCTCTCTTTCAGATTCTGATTCTCTCTCGCTATCTCCTCTCGTTCCCAGTTTTCTATTTTTCTCTCATTCTCTTTCCTCTCTTCTGTTTCTCATCCTCTCTATCTCCTCTCGTTCGTTTATTCTCTTCCCCCTCTATCTCCTCTCGTTACCAGCTCTCTATTTTTTGCTCATTCTCTTCCCTCTCTTTTTCGTTCTGATTCTCATCCTCTCTATCTCCTTTTGTTCCCAGTTCTCCATTCTTCGTTTATTCTCCACCCTACTCTATCTCCTCTCTCGTTCCCAGTTCTCCATTCTTCGTTAATTCTCCTCCCTCT